TATCCGTTTAGTTAAAGGTGAAGTAATTAATGTATACGAAATGCATAGTCCTGTTCATTCATTCGTAGCAGGAAATTTGATAGGAAATTGGAGCAACTTTCTTGATGTTGGAACAGAAGATATGCCTTATTAGTCGTAACACTGAATATAATTCTGATGTCGTAGTTGAACCTCGACAACCTCGACAATCTTGGCAACCTGGACAACAACAGTTTGGACCTGGACCTGGACTTGGAAGGAGAAGACATGAGTTTATTGGAAGTTGCATTCTTTGTCGAGAGAATATTTTTCTGCTTCTACACGAACTGATTTAATACAAGTTTATATATCAATTAAAATACTTCCTCGTTGGTCAGATGGTACCGCTGCGATGATTGCAATGTTTTATTTACGTAATAATCAGATTCCTGCACCAAACCGACAAAACGCACGCATGGTAACAGTGCAAATACAATACTAAATTTCATAATTTCGTTTGGAACACCTCCTCATCAAGAACCAACAAATATCATTTATAGTATCGGAATACGAAATTATAGAAGCACTGGCTTCCTTCGGTCTAATGATATTGCTTGTACGAATCCCGAAATGCCGAATTACCAGATTTATATACATGGTTTTCCTGGAGGTGCGCACCAAATAATGTCAACCTATATCTATGGGAGGTCCAGCAACAAACATTGCATCGTCTGGTGAGTATTGCTTTCATGTTGCTTTCATGCTTTGCTGTTACATTATTACTGATAATTCCTATTTTTTTTCTTCTTTCAGGAATAAATTACCAACAGCCATAGTTTCTTCGATAGAGACATGTTTTACAGCATTTGGAAATTCTATAATTCCATCATCAATCAACTTAATTCGTAATACTAAAATCTAATATTATTATATTGAGAACTTTGAATATATGTAATATATGTGGAAAAATTTGCTATACCGCCAACAAAAAGTTCATGTAAAACAATGCAAAATGTAAAATTTATTGGTAATAATAATACGTTAAGGAATAAATAATAAAATGAGAGACAGCTTGCGTTATATGATTATTATCTATCTGTGATTGAAATGTCAGCTCGTCAAATTTGTTATAACCCATTACTTAAATTATTTGACGCCGCGAAACCATGAACCTTCAAATTATTCGTGCCTCTTTAGTAGTCCTGTAATAAAAATGAGCTATTATATTAGTATACGTTACATGATTGAATAAAAAAAA